AAGATTTCTTGAAGAAAATGTCGCGTCAGTAGAGATTGCGTCGAAGTGTACACGCGGCTTAAGTGACGTACCATGCGTGTCACACGGGTAGTATGCACAGCTCCAGATTGTGACAGCGTATTGAGGAGGTGTGCTAAACATAACACAGACCTTGTGCGGCCAGTTCCTTGCTGTCAGGCCACGATAATAGTAGTTACATCGGCCGTGAAAGCCTCGAGACCCGACCACCGATGTCGTTCTATGCAATTTATTCTTCGTCCCTTCGTTTCCTTTTTTTTTTTCCAAGACGTATGATCGAGAACGTTCGAACCACAACGAGAACGGTCCATCCAGCAATGGCGCACCAGGTGCGTACACTCATGTACACACGATAAAATTGACTTCGCGATGGCAGAAAACGCTCGACAGTTTCTAACTTCCTCTCTTCCTCTGTCTCTTGGCAAGCTCTCGGTCACTCAACTTCTACTTCCTTTTATTTAACCGTTTGGTGGCGGAGGTGGGTCAAATTTGACCCCTGCTACATCTATCTCTCGTCTGACGATAAGACACGTTCCGCCGTTTGACGGTGGAATTCGAGAAAGTGGAACTGTTTCGAAATTGTCCAGCTCTTGGATTTAGGAACCATCTCCAGCTTTAGATCCATCTTTAGATTTAGGAATCTTCTCGAGTTCCATGGGGTTCCTCCACTTGAACATTAATGGGAACTCTCGACGTCTTGCTTAACAGCTCGACGAAGTTCGCTTACTCGAAGCTCTCGATCGATCCATAGGCGTCTTCGATCATCTAGCTCCCTTTACGTAAATGTGTACAGTAGGCAAGTGATTCAGATGTCGCGAACAAAACTGACAGCTCTCGATGGCTGAGACAGAAAATGTCTCATCAATCATTTTAATTCATCGATGATCGTCGGCGCAGGCTATGGCGGTGAGACCACCTTCTTCATCGCGAAACGTCGACAACGCTGTGAACTCGTGTCGCTGATGAAACTGATGTAACAGGTAATAATTGACAGTCTACGATTACACGCTAACCGGCCAGCGTCCATTTGGTTGAACTTCGTCGTTTCAACCAAATCGTTCGTGGACGAAGTTCACGCAAGGACGCCAATTAAAATGTACTAATCACTACTGATATGTGCGCGATGCCCTCCTCGGGATACAACAAAGATCGCTTGTCGAGTTCCTAAGTCGCGTTCCGACGAATCGAACTGTCTGCCCGCGCCGGATTACAATATGGCGTCACGATCGGACCCAGAACATCGATAAAACAGTACCCTCTCAGAGACGGACAGAAACATGGATATAGGATAAAATCTACACACGATTTTGACTGATCGAAAGACTGTCAAGATGACCAATCTGGTAGAACTTCAAAGAATTCTTAAACAGAAGTGTTAAAAATTCCATTCATTGACAAAACTCCTGCTTGAAAAAAGATGAACAATTGTTAACAAGCTTTTACGCTCTGAAGAGAATCTTGTCCATCCCTGTTGATGAGCCAAAGATACGGATAATAATGTTGTTCTACCGTATTCCCTCGTTAAACGTTACCCAATAGGGTCCACCGAGCGACAGTTATCGAGGTAAAGTCGCGATTCTTGTATAGCGCCTCAGGAGTAGAGGGGATAGAGTCGAGAGGTTGCTTCGAGGTGACACTTAACGAGGGAACACTCGTCCTGAAAACACGACGCCCTTCGATGACGTTACTCTCCCTATTACCTTCGATTTAAAAAATAAAGTTAGCGGCAGTGCGTAAATTAGGTCAAGTTTTAGGACGACGAAAGACGTTTGAAGTAACAGGGACAGAAGATGGGGCTTGGAGGATCGATATAATTACGGGGAGAACGGAAACGAGAAACCATTGATCTTTCACGAGACTGTCGTCTGCCTGAATTGATGCTCCTCGCGCTCCCAATGTTCATTTTTTATATATTCTCGTTCCACTGACCCGTGGGTTCGTTCTCCTGTGTGATCTTTTGATATCGCGCCATTTTTTAAATTACACGTCGCGCTGTACAAAAATTGCTTTTTGATTTTTGGCTGCTCGGTGGGGGGAGGCTGGTCCACGAGCGACACTAGCTAACATGATCCCATCCACCCAGTGAGAATTAGTCGGAAAGATGAAATATCACCGGTCCGTCTAATGATATAAAATATCGATCAAATATTAATTCTACCGAGCATTATTATACAGGTTGATGGAAAAAAAGGATTCATAAGTTCTCGGGTAGGTAGTACTCGCCAAATGATGAAAAGGAAGTCCTGATAAACGTGGGTTGAAAAATTAATATTTTCAAAGTTCTAAACAACTTTTTCTTTCGGAAATGAAAAATTGTTTAATTAATCTTTCGACCTATATTAGATCAGGACTTTTTCTTTATCGTTTGTCGAGTACTATTTACCTTAGAAGTTTGAACCCTTTTTCTGTATCACCCTGTATATAGCGTTGCTCACTGCATCGAGTGATCGAAAATGAGTCTGAGGACAGGTGGACAGTTTCGAAGAGGTGTGACCGCGTAGTAATCTCGTAATCGTTAATCGTATACACGTGATATTCGAACCGTTTGCCTTTCTAAACAACACTCCGCGCTTGTAATATTTATGTATATATTTATATGCACGCGTCTCCTCACGAATTGTTACCACTGCGACCCTCCGACTGGGTAAAATCGAACCTTTAACGGTCTACTAGCTTCTCCAGTCTGCGTTGTTCTCCCCACCATCACTCAAATAGAGAAATTGGTGGGCGTGGCTTCGAAGTTGGCGTGTTCGAAGCTCGTAGTGGGGGAAACGGCCTTCAACTAACTTCCATGCGACTTCAGTAGCTTCACCTTACGATCGTTCTCCGCAGAATGGAGTTTTAAAAAATTTTTTTCAGTCAACTTAACCCTCCGTGACCCTCCCTATTTATACTGCTTCCGTCAGTCTTCTGGGTCTTTTATGCCCACACTAATTTTTGTTATCTTATATAGGCTTCCAAAAGATCTGAAAAAATTCAAGGATACTTTCCAGGGTCTCTATATTAGGAAGGGAGAGATTGAGGGATGGGGAAGGGGGAAGGAGTTGAATGGATTGTTATTAAAAAAGGATGTTTCAAATAATAATCCCTTCACTTCGGAGATATTTGACCACGAAATTTCGCTTGAGCAATAAAAGAACCAGGGTTGTCACGGGGGGTTAATCATTGAAAATTATATATAAAGAATCATTACCCAACCGAAGGGTCGCTATGACTTGAACAGCGTCTAGGGTAAAAGTGGTTATAGTTTTCGTAGTAGTCGATCGCTGAATCGAGTGTCTCGAACTGCGTTTCAAGGGAGAGAGAGAAAGAGAGAGAAAGAGAGAAGAGGAACAAACGAATCGGCTCGCGAAACGTCTACGCATCTACGGTAAATCACGGGGGGTGGTTCGGTAACGAGACACGCTCCGTTTCGTCGTTTTACCTATCGTATTGTACTATGGTTTTAAGACTATCTTCGTCGTTGGAACGTACGCCGAATCGCGCGCTGTTCCATCGATTAGGCTACCTTTCCGTGTCCTCCGTCGGCTCACCGAGTGGAACGAACTCCGTCCACGCGGGAAGAGGGATGAAATCAATCGGGAAGGGTGGTTCCGGGGAGGTGGATGAAAGCGAAAGAAACGTCTACGCGTTGTCTCTCAGTGGCCGCTGAAATTAGTGCATACGCTTGATGCTCGTGTCTTTTGATTTTCGTTTTTTTTTTTTTCGGTTTTCCTTTTCATTAACAGACTCGAAGGATGAAAATATTTCTCTCTATGCAGACGTCGAGGATGGGGTCAAACTTATAATGTCCTTATAAAAAAAAAATGAATTGACATAACCTGAGAGTACACGTATGGAACGAAAGCTTTACGGAATTTACTACAAGATACCAAACTACTTTACCTGAAACTGTAATAAATTAATAATTGAAGTAGCATCTTTCTCGACCCCAATCGTCGACGTACGATGGTCAACTGAGGATTGATGAATGGATTCTTGGGTATAGGAACGAAACGATGTAGCTAGGAACGGGATTCGTCGATCGCGGTTATAAATGAGGGTTCCCCGGATGCGATCGGCTGCGAAACAAGCTACGTCCTTAAAGTATTGTCCGTGAAGCAGAGAGCTTGAGAAATATGTCTTGGATCGCCGTCGTCCCCTTTCACCGCTAAAACGATAGACATTCCTGTCTAGTACGAACCGACACACGGGGAATGAGCTAGTAAAAAAGTAACGATGAACGTTCCGCGGGTTTAGCACCCTCTAAAAACGGTGACGTCCAGAACGACGACGGGGGATTGGGGAGGATCGAGTGGTTGGGGGGGAATTTGTCGAAGATCACGCGATTAATCAAATAATAGCAACGTAGCGCTACGCTCTCGAGTCTTCCTATCGATTAGTAATTATTAGTCCACGATAACTCGATATGACGGGTTGCTAAGTTTGGCCGCTTCTAGGGTTTTCTTAGATATACGTTCTCTAACGCCTGCTACACACTGTTCGCATCCCCCCGGGATCCTAGAGTTGCGTTCAAGATGCAGCGCGAAACACGCAGACCCGGCTTTTATAAAATGTTTAAAACGCCTTATCCTAATTGTTCGTCAACTAAAGCAACGGTACAGGCCCGTTAAACGAGCCTGTTTTGTCCTCAGTGGATGCCACCAGCTAAAGGTAGCTAAGGATGTTCGCCATTCCGTCTGGATATCCTTGGATCTTCCTGTCGCAACGCGGTTTCCGTCGCGTCTAGAGGACCAGATTCGGGAAGAAAAACACTATAGGGATCCCTAAGAGTTAGAAAACGCACCCGACGATTATTTCATTTGAAGAACGACCCGGTTTCGCGGTTCATCCTGAACGAATCCCGGGAGAAACGGGCGAGATCAAGAAGTGTATCGAAAATCCATCGCGTCCCCTATCGGGATCGAGAGTCGTCCAGGGTTTTCGAACACCGTGTTGATCATTCTGAAACATCTCTACGTTGCTCCTAAACGTCGAGAAGACTACTTTTCCTCCCTGATCATCGCCTCCTCGGCCTCCTTTCGTCTCGCCTTCGCCTCCTTTTTGGCCCGCTTCTTCTCTTCTTTAGCCAGCTTCTTCGCCTCCTTCTGCCTGGTCTTCTCAGCCTTCTCCTCTTCTTTCTGACGTGCCTTCTCCGCTTTCTCCCTCTCCTTCTCCCGTTCTTTCTCCTTCTTCGACTTCTGGACCTCTTGGACCACCGAGAGTTTCGGTGTCGACTGTGGCCTCTTCGACGTCAACCTCACAGACGACGAGGAGGTCGGCGTGACGCCGCTAGACGAGCCCCGAGGACTCGGCGAGGTCTCCAATTGGGTTACGATCTTTTGAGCGCACCTGAGGATCAAACGTTGCGAATACACCGTCGCGAAACAGTGATTATATCCGACGAATTACGGGAGAACATTGCTGGAGCCTGGGTTAGATGTGACGAGGAGGATGGGGTGGATCTGGTTCGTCTAATTTGGATCCAGGAAACCAGGTGTTACCACACGCCAATCAACGAGACGAGTCAGCAGAGATAGGGCGTCCGTATATTGAATGTGTGACAGATGCTGCAGCTTCAATGATTGGCTGACAACTCTGACCTTCCCTCAGAATTTAAGGGGTGAACTTTAGCTATCGTTTACGACACAAAGGATCCAAAAGTGATCGACATAGTGAGGATTATTCATCATTGTAATCTGGGTCACAAATATTTCAAAATTCCTAGAGCACCTCCGACGCTGTTTGATGACTATCTGTTTCCAGCCACTGACTCGACTCGTCAGAAACAGTACAATCCTCTGAAAATACCATTAACCATTTATGACCGTAAAGTGTCAGTGAATTACCGTATCCTAGTAGAGGCTTTTCCCGCGCGATAGTCCCTCTGGAACTCCTTGATCGGTGGCAATCTGCGTTCCCGGTTGTCCCTCATGATCTCCTCCTCCTCCCCAACTTGCGGAACTGGATCCTGGTACTCCTGCGAACACGTACACAAAATAGGCAAAGTTATCAAGCCCCGATATTCAACGGTCTAGACAGTTTCTCCATCCGCCAATTGAACAAACCTGAATCCTCAGTTTCATGGATTGTGTCTGCGAGCGTCTCAACGTCGCGCCAGACGGTTGCCTGACCCTTGTTGGTTTACCCAGCCCAGAACTTCCTGTGCTACCCGCTGAAGACGAACTTGACGAAGATACGGAAGACACTCCTGCGGGACAAAAGGGACGTTTTTGTTTTCAAAGGTGGTATTGTTTTCCTGGGATTGGGTAGGGCGATCGATACTAACCAGAAATAGAGGACGAACCGCTGGCCATGGAGTACAGGGACGCGGAGGCGGGTACGTTGCCGGCGACCCATCTGCCACCGGGGCCAGTCACACCCACGGAGATCCCGGTGCCCATATTGTACTCTGACGCGCTCTGCGGCAGCACCCAGGACTTCCCAGACATCGAATACTGTGGACAGTACAGAATTATTTGATTAAAGTCCTGAATATTTTACTCTGTGCCTTGACAGACTTTAGCCTAGGGGTGACGAACTCCTCCATCGAGGACTAGAGTCATTGACATGGATCACTGGTCACAAGTGCTGGGACACTTATACAAGTTAAAATAAAGTTCTTAAAGAACTATAGTCTGTGCAGAGTTAACTCAAGGTTCAAAGGGTACTGAAGGTTCAACTCAGGTTCTTCAATCGCTAGGCAATCGCTTTGATCATTTTTAGCTATCTGGGACTTCTGGGAACCTTCTTATTCTAATTCATATTACATAAACAAAAATGGCTATCGTATTCTACTGTTTAAGAGTGTTCTTATTCATGTTCCCATTCACTTAGAATTTCATGAAAACTCGGAATATGCTTATGCTTCCATTATTATAAATATTGTTTACAAGACACAGCTCACAGCCAGAAGACTGTGTAGAGTAACACAACGTGGATGAAAGTGGCCCGAGATGTGTATTTTTTTTTTTATAAAATGTCGGAACTCCGTTCGGCCTGGCCCGATTTAATTAAATTACTCACGGTTCCTTTCACGAACACACTGCGTCGGAAATTCCGCGAGATTAATTGCAGCTCGAAACAGGACGGGGTGTGTGTATGTGTGTGGGAAAAAGTAGGAAGGAAAGAGCGGAGTGCGCATTCAGGCCGGATGGTATTTATGAAAACCGCTTCGAACGGAATGGTCATTCGTCGCCGTGGCTCGGCCTCGCTAAAACGCGACCGAGGGCTTTTCCAATCCGCTCCAATTAGTCGCGATTTTACGGACGCCGGTATCGAATCAACGAACGGCCCTTGTGGCGTAAAACAAACGAGAAAATTTTAAGAGGGAGTCGTAATTAGAACCCTCCGCGATGTGGACCCTTTTGTCTCGGCGTAAACGGGCGTGAAAATGTTCGGTTAGCGGCTCGACGCGTTGGTGGTTTATCGGTGACCAGCTACGTCGGAATTATTTAAAGTATGGAATAAATGGTAACATTGATAAATATTTGATCATGATCAATATTGTAATACGTCGGAAATCTGCCGTGAATTAAATGTACGAGGTACTGGACTGCGGATTTTATGCATTTATAGGGCTCTGTGAAGTACAGTAAAAATAATTATTTTATTCCGAAGTGAATAGGGTACTTGACCCTTGAGGACACGGACCGTGAATACGCAATTTCTGTCTTTGTAAATTTAAAAGGCAGCAGTAGGCTTTTTGTTCATTTTTTAATCCAATTACTTTATATTTTTAATGGTAGATAATTTCCAGTATTGCCTCTCTATATGTCGTGATAGGGGCTGGTAGCGCGATTATAGAGAGCAGCGGACACGATTCTTCGATCGTTCCATTGGCTGTCTTGTTTTTCCTTTCAGTTTAAATAGGATCCAAGGATTATCTGAAGGAGAATGGTGGGGATAGCGAGGCGAATATCACGAGATAGAGAGGGAATACTGTATAGGATAATCGACCAAGTGACATAACTCTCAACGGTACTTACGTCCCGTGGAATTAGGGTCTGCTTCAGGCGCAGGATCTTCGCTCTGCATATGACACATCGTAGTGGTAACAGTCTCTGCGAGACAGCCATTTGTATCGTCTTGACGAAACAGCGTCTGAAACGTAGACAGAACAATACTATTAATAATAATTAACAACTTTTTATGCATGATGGTATATATTTTAACCCACCACGAAAAGATGAAGTTACTCATAGTCATACAGTTCAATATTTTATATTTATATAATTTTTTTTATATTCAAAAAAATTCCGTGTGCCTCAAAGAGTTATAGGAACAAGTAAATGTTGCCATTTTACCTGCAAACCACTCGATGCCCACACGGAGCCGTCTGCATCGTGGCCCTTGCGTTCACGCATATCACGCACTGCAAGAACAAGGAAACAACGTTCTGAATACAATCCACTGCGACACAGAGATTACAATAATCCGAACCACTCCCCTCGACCCGGTATTCGAGATTAATTCCCCGAAACGTTGGGATACGTGCAGTGCTCGCGCAAAGGTCAGAGGTTAAATTGACCGAATCGCCTACCGGGAGTTGCCGGGCTGGTCAGCAGAAACTTTCGTGGGTTAAACAGACAGTTTTCAGGGTTGGCGCCTCCTCGAAATCGGGGAATATTCCACTAAAGATGTTTACATATCCCAAACACCAATTTAACAGAGTATATTTCTACCTGAATCAATCGTACTATCCCATTCACGAATAAACTTCACACCAATTACGTATTTTGTCTAATGCATTTATTCGTACAATATCAATAAACTACAAATAAATCCTTAAAATTGTATCATCGACTAGCTCGAGTGGCCAACCTCCAAAGTTCATCCCATCATGTTACGAGCAGTATCTAAACAGAATGCATTACGGTCAGCCGAATTATTCCACGGTATCGTATCGATATTCACACGCTTATGGAGAAAAATTACGAAACGGATCAATTTTTACCAACGTTACGTCTGTTACTCGTATTTATACATAACTAACCCTTAGTTACCGTTGTTCCGGTCGTTTCAGAATCATGATTGAAACGTTCAATTCCCAGCAATAAAATGTACAAAAAGAAATTATTCTCGAAACTTCATTGTCACACCTAGAATTCCACACTCCCTAATTAATTGCCCCGTTTCGTAACTTCTCTCGTTAAGTGTTAGTATCGTGTTCACCTATCATAGTTCCCATTGGGTTAGGCATGTTTGCCATTTGACCCATCATGTTGCTCATTTGGCCCACCGGATTACCTGTGCCTCCTGTTCCTCCTCCCTGGGTGCAACCATCACCCTGTCTGCAGGGCATCGCAGATCTTCTGTTTCTCATCTGAGGGTTCATGAACGTGTTGGACATTGCATCCATTGCTGCACCACCCGCATTCGTTGCTACACCAGCAGCATTCATTGCAGCATCCTTTGCTGCACCAGCAGCATTCATTGCAGCATCTCGAGCCTGGTTAGCAGCTTGTCCAGGGTCCTGGGCAGACCTTCTGTTTCTCATTTGAGGGTTCATGAACGTGTTGGCCATTGCATCCATTGCTGCACCACCCGCATTCATTGCTGCATGAGCAGCATTCATTGCAGCATCCTTTACTGCACCAGCAGCATTCATTACAGCATCTCGTGCCTGGTTAGCAGCCTGTCCAGGGTCCTGGGCAGACCTTCTGCTTCTCATCTGAGGATTCATGGTCGTGGTGGACATTGCATTCATTGCTGCACCACCAGCATCTCCTGCCTGATTACCAGCCTGTCCAGGATCCTGGGCAGACCTTCTGTTTTTCATCTGAGGGTTCATGAACGTGTTGGCCATTGCATCCATTGCTGCACCACTCGCATCCATTGCTGCACCACCCGCATCCATTGCTGCACCAGCAGCATCCATTGCTGCACCAGCAGCAAGCATTGCAGCATCTCGTGCCTGGTTAGCAACCTGTCCAGGGTCCTGGGCAGACCTCTTGTTTTTCATCTGAGAGTCCACGGCTGTGGACGTTGTGTTCATCGCTGCGTCAGCGGCGTCAGCTGTGTCTCCGAATGGTCCACATGGGGGGATTCCGTCTGGTGGTGGTCCATGTGGAGGTGGACCACGTGGATGTGGACCATGTGGAGGAGGACAATTTGGAGGCATTTCTTGAGGACTTCGTCTCCCTCTGACGCCTGTATAGTGCCTGTCCTTTGGCTCGGGCTGCGGAGGAGGCTCCACAGACTCGGACTCGGACTCGGAGGACGCTCCGAAGGCCTCGAATTAAGTTCAAGGATAGTTTAGGTGGGGTCTACTGACAGCTGTGATTGGATCGACCTTTCACAGAGAACCGTCAGCAGGAGGCAGCTTGTAACGTGTGAGTCACCTTGGGGATTGATTTAATCCTTCGAGACAATATTCCGTTAATCGAGAACGGTTTGAAAACTTCACGGCTTGACACCGAAGGGTAGTCTACTAAGAATGTTCCTTGACATTAGTTTTCAATATAGTCCCCTTTCAAATCTTCGCATATGGTTCAACGATGTAGCAGTAAAAGCAATAGCAATTAACTAATACTAGATGCTATTGCTTCTCCTGAGCTAATTGGAGTTATTGCTTTTACTTAATGAAATTTAGTCGCGTATATGGAGCTCGTCGAATGTCTGACTTATGCGTCACCTATTTTACTTACAGTGTCGATGACACTGTAAGTAAATAATACTACATTTATAGTCTTATCCTCAATGCAGGTAGAATAGGCGACGAATAAATCAGACATTCGAAGAGATCCGTAAACGAGATGCATTCTCAAATTCGATTTTTATTTCCAAACGATACTTTATACGAAAGTATTTACTCTAAAATTTCGACTTTTTATCACACGTAAAACCATTTGCTTCTCGGTTATACCACGATCAGCTGGCAATCAACCCACAATATACTCTGCTTCATTATTTATAACCCACCTACAAGTCAGCATTTACTTTCGATCAATAATTGTTAGGAATAAATTGTCGAGAAATTGTTGCACATAATGCCTGCAATCTACTACGATTATACACACATATGGCGTAGGTTATTTTTTTGTTACCTGGGAGTAATAGAGAATTTATTGCTACATTGCAAATATGAAACGACCTACGTCAGTTTGTAAACGTCGATTTGTAAACGTCGATTTGTAAACATCGATTTGTAAACATTAGTCTGTAAATGTACATTTGTAAACGTCGATCAGTAAATATCGATTTGTAAACATCAGTCTGTAAATGTAAAATTGTAAATGTAGATCTGAATGAACGTCGATTTGTGTCATATTTGTAAATTGTCGATTTATAAACGTCTTAAATTTTTCAGTGAAGTAAGTAAAATCTCTTAGAAAAACGATTGCATATTTCAATGTTTCACTAAAAAAAATCTGTCCTTTTGAATGTTCTCGTCATGTTGGATTAAATTTATGAAAATACTAAAAACCCTTGCTCTGACTGGTCATTAATGCTGATTTATAGCTTGGTTATAAATATGAGACAGAGTGCAGGTGATCACACAATTACAAGAGACTCAACGCATCGAAGACCAGGCACTTACAGAGACGACCAATACGGCAACGACACCGACAACGAGAAGGTACTTCATGATTCCTTCAACACTCAACACTGTGTCGATCGCTCTCGAATCACGGAAATAAATATTGTGCACTACGTCATCAGGAGCACAGGAGGGAGAAGCAACGTACGCGATGCAGAACGTGCAACGCAAAAAGGACAAGCTGAAAAGGAAATGATCTCCGGACAGTCATTATCGACTCGAACATACTGGCCACGCCATTGTTCTTCGTCCACGATAGTCCGTTTCCCGGCGAGTTTTGTTTTTCCGTCACGGGCCACGACGGAAATGACGGACTCGTGACCAGGTGACGCGACCAACATCGTTCTCGACGGTTCGTAATTTCAATGTTATCGGTCGAGAGATCGTTCTCCTAATTCCACTTTAATAACCGTCGATCTTTATCGCCTCGCAAATTATTTAATTCACACCACAACAATAATTTCGTAAACGCAACTGTCACCTTCAGAATTGTAAGATTATATAATTTTCCAAGTCTTGATTTCAGTGTTTTGATACATCGATTCACATTCTTCCGGTAGAGTCCTGTTTCATCTAGTACTTTTTTTTAATTACACAATAGTTGAAGGATTATGTTAGATTGTATGGTAGTTGTTTCCTGGATTTTTAATTGCAATTTCTGATTGGTTTTGTGGGGAGCAATCTTCTTTCGTTTTTGTATGCATCGTTCTCTCAGATTTGTTAGATTTTGAAATATTCTACTATTTATCTATTCATAAACTAGACACATAGTTTAAATTCGAAATATCTTTCTGACCTTTTCTTCTTTCGAAATGACGTCGTGTATTGAAGAAGGGACGAGGACAAATACTTGTTAGTTCTTCCAAACTAAATATTGAATCTGATAATTGGTATAACTTTTTTTAGCCGTCTGAAAATAGTAAAAAAGAGCATGGGTCGGTTTCGACTCCACCTTACCAACTACACCCTTAAAACTCACCTTACAATTCGAGAGTTAAAAAACTCATCGGAGTAAAATATTCAATAAATTGCAATGAAGTTTTCACATCACTCGTAACCCAACAGAATCTTTAATACGATGAATATCATTCTACTTCAGTTCGTTTTCTATGAATTACTTTATAAAAATCTGCATTTGCATAAACTTCTGGATTAATAATACAATAACGATAAAAAATAATAACTGTACAAGTTCGGCAAGAGAAACAGTTATGTTTCGAATAGCAAAAACCATAACAGTTTCTTATAACAATACCAGTAATAAATCCATAAACAATCAACGCGTTGAAAACCGTTTTATCATGTTTCCATTCCACAATTAAACACTTGTGTACACGATTCTGTCCTCCTTTGCGCGACGTCGAATTATCCAACACCGGATGCACGGATCCCAGGTGTTCGAGAGTTATTAAAAATCAACCGCCTGTAATGACGCAACCCGGAAATATCCCCTGGCTTCGGTCATTCAGGATCGTCGATCGTGTCGCGTGCGATCACACCGATGCCCCTCTTCTGTTTATGCACCTGGGGAGAGCCCTTGGGCGACGTGATCGACGTAACCGAATTAGGCGTCGCCTTAATCGAAATATTAATAGTTCGCCGAGGGTGGACGAGCACGTCAGGAGTCGTGTACATGTTCGCCTGCTTTGTCAGCCCTGTTAATCGACTCTCGCGAGCCATCGAGCGGCCCGTTCGATCGGAAATTGCAACTTTTCCGGACCGTCGGCCGTCTTTCGCGGCGACAGAAAGGCCTCTTCCGTGCTAACCGTCGAGAATTTCGTGTACAACCATCCTCTGTGACCAACCCCCTGGTACGACTATTAATAACGTTGTGCAACCATTCTGGGTCAGCGCAGTCTTCCTCTTCTTTAGGAATTTATTGCCACGGTCACGATACTTTGAGCATACGCTAACAAGAATAGGCTTTTTTAAGTTCATTAAAGTGATTGCAAGATTGCAACTGGTGTGAAAGATACTGTGTAATGGATCAACTACTTCGTGTCACAGTTCATAGAAATTAACTTTTCCTGATTTTGGAACTTTTTACATAAGAAGCTTGATGTACAGTGGTGATACAACCAGTGCAGGTTATTCAACGTGAAAAAATAAGTCGAAAATATACAGTAAAATATTTCATTCGAGTATTATTATTTAAATACCTCTACAAAATTTTGACAAAGATTTATGACTTCAAAAACGAGATAACGTGTGTCTGGCTACGTACTGCCTTTTTCACTGTGGCAGTGAACGTGTTATCGACTTTCAAAATCGATTGGATACGCGTGCAATTGAGTGGTATTTGGTGCGTCTGTTCATTGCAGTCTGTTTCTACTTGCTGGCAGAAGAATACATACACATGTTAGATGAATGTTACAGTAAAATTTTGTGTGACGCTTCATTCTGAGATGATCAAGTATGAAAATTTATCTAACATGTACTTATGTATGTAATCGTAGTGGTAATAAGTAGAAACAGAATGTAATGAACAGACGTGCCAGCCAAGTCCTATTCCACTGCACGCGTATCTAGTAAATATTAAAATTCGATTATCTCGGAAACGAAATATTATACGAACAAATTGTGTTCTACATTCTCGACTCATTTTTGCATATAGAGTGACTTCCTCCCCGGTTGATATTCACCTGTCCTGCCCCACCCAAAATATCAGCGATTAGAAAAATACTTATTGTCTTTTTAATCACCTAGAAATATTTTCCATTTATTTAGGTCATCGGTAATCAGCGTTGTTAAAATGAATAAAGATACGACTTAAATAAAATAAATGATAACAAAGCATAGTGTCCGTAAACTTTTGGCAGCCACTGTACGTATTGATACCCCAACTTTTATTATCGCAACTCGCGGATATTTATGCAAAATCGGTCCTCAGCAATATCTCGTGAATCCCCCGATTGATTCCCCGAGAAGCTTCTTCACTGACGTCAATGGCAGGGGAGGTTTCTTTTATTCCACCCTCTTCACTCACGGAGGAAACGAGAAAATCTCATTCGCCCGCCAATCATCGAGCCCCCGTTCCGCCCCCTATTCCCCCATTCCAGTGAAATTACGAATTAGGCTTGATTACGTCTTGTCCCTCGTAGCGCGAGTGGAGACGGGGAAAAGTAACAAGGTTACCTGAAAGAACCTCGGGAAGAAAAGTGGAGGCGGGACACGGCGGAAAATGCAGCTGACCTTACCCATCTCCCCCCACGGGTGGCCTCTCCGTTGGATGTTAATTGGATCGGAGGCTCTACTCGAACTTCTCCCCGTCCCCTCTGGAAATTTCTTTCGCTCTATGGTCAGATTAAGTGAAACCACCCCCACGATTGTTCGACGAATTCGGACACTTGATTTTGGGGGGCGATTTGACCGATTCGAATCCCTTGACAGGGGTGAGATCCGCCACTTTTTCAGAGTACCTTCTAATGAATGGATTAAGGGATCTAGGGTTTTCATCCTGTATTGCTTTCGATTTCCGTAGCTAACCCCTATGTTTCTGACCTTGGTATCGATATGTCATTCGACCCCACTGGGAACTGAATCTCGTCAATTTATCTGATTTAAGGGGGTTTTTCGTCAAATAATCTACGGGGTGAGTCGGCGAATTTTGTCACTAGAAATTGGTTAGAAATTGTTTCTTGTATGAGGATATGTTTCGAACGAAAGTTTTATGGAATTTTTTTGTAATGTTGCTCTTTAATTGAGGTATGATCATCTGAACTTCTTTAAATGTAACGTGTAATATTTGACCCTACAATTCCGAGTAGATGACTGTTAGAGTACATATATTCGAAGATATTCCATAACTGATTTTTAATTTAAATAGTGCTCAAAATATTGTCCATTGCAATCAATAAAAGTGCGTAGTCGATCAATGAGTGGGAGAGCGAGACACATTCGTGTGTTTCTGGCGTCACAGCGTTTCATGGTCTAACAATGCGATCTTTCGTGTCCTCAGGTGTTTTACTGAGCGTTCAATAAATCTTTCGAGTTACAGGGTCAAATGTTACATATTACATTCACAAAACTCAAGGTGACTTTCATATCCCAATAAAATTGCAAAAATAACACAAAGCCAATTATTAGCATACATCTTTATGGATGAGTCGATAGTGGCTAATAAATGAAAATTTGAGTGGTCTATTATGTTCTGAATAATTTCATAGGCTCGTTAAATTGTATCACACGTTTTACTATACTGTCAGTGAATTTTCGGTGGTAGTGTATGACTACAGAAATTCATAAAATCGACAGTCCAGGTGGATGGAATCGTAGTACTCACCTCGTCTTCCTGCGAGGAGGCCAACTCCGGCTCGTTCTCCTCCAGTTTCGTCAACAATTTATCCTGCAACAGAAAAATCAACAACCAATGAAGCACCGTCACCTTGTCGACGAAACTATATTGTGACGATAATATCACTGCCGTTTCCTGTCACGCCGGCAGTCAATATAGATCGACGTTTCTTCCAGGAAGGCGGAGGCAAGTTGAAGGCCTGATCGTTTTCGCGGAAGGCTGAATCATAGTGATATAATACTTCAGCAATAGTTCCCACCGGCTATTCTTGCACCGCGTGTACGCGACCGATCGATATATTGTTTCTTTCCCCCCACTTGTTTTTCGCCTCTTTTCGCCGAGCCACGCAATCCACGAGCCATCCCACCTGCCTAACGATCGTGGACTGTACTCGACGACTGTACTGATAATCGGAGGTTGTAAAATAGAAATTTATGATCGTCGACAGGTCCTGCATCGATCTATAATAATTATAGATTCATAATCACAAGTACTATGTAGAGCCTAACAGAGACCAAGAGGATATGCAACCCCCAATTGGTGACCAAGATACGGAGAACTTGTGAAATTTTTTAGATAAAATGTGTTTCGTTTCTTCCGACTATATTCTTCACGAAAATGAGAGGTACAAAGGTAAACTGTACTTAAACGTTAATTTGGTTCAAGATGGTCAGAAACTTAAGGACTTTAAATGACCCAAGATAGGCCTAACCCTAAGGACTCAAATTAAGTGAAGGTAGTCCCACGTCTGAGGACCCAAAATGATCCAAGATGATCCTAAGCTTGAAGAATAATAAATCATCCAAGATAGTTCTAACCCTGAAGACCCTAAATGAGCCAAGGTTCTCTAAGCCTAAGGATCCAAAATTACCAGTACAAACAAGTGCCGTTTCCACTTAATGACTCCACCAACTTTTCATTTCACTAGATTGTTACTCTCAACTACACCAACTTCTAAATCTCCCTCGAACATCTCGGAATTAACGTGCTCCCTCCGATTCATCGTTCCGTCGGGGTTCATTAAGTACCAGACCATCGGAGAACGTCGCCAAATTTCAATGTCGCGCCGTGAGGGTGGAAAAAAAGACGAGAGAAAAACAGGCGCAAAGAGTCTCGTCACGTTCTTGGCACGGTGACTCGGGAGGAAACGACGGCGACGAGCGTCGAGGAAACCGGCGGTGGTTGCTCGTTGTTTAAATGGAAAAATTGGCTGGCTGTGATTCGGAGGCGGACCACGGTCGTTGCGTTTCGGGGGTGAAAAGTTGCTGTACCAGTACCGCACACCGTGGTGGGGATATTTTGCGCATCCATCCCCCTAATATCCGGAGAGCACCCTGACCCAGATACACGCGTCGAACAGCCGGACGACGGCGATGATACGACGTCGAATGAAAATCCCCTCACCCCTCCGTGAACGTTCTGTGTGTCCATTGTTCTGAGGGATAACACCGTGTTTTCAAATGGTGGCGACGGGACCGAGAGACCGACCGTACAGAACGGCAAACGGTGGACAAAAATCGAGAAACAAAATTCCTGGATAGTGAATTATATGCCCTGTAGAAGATCTACAATAGTTCTATGTGGAATTCTTTTTCTGATAACTATCCAATGACCCTAAAAATCCTCACATTCAATTTCTGTACACATTTCTCAGTAGAGAGAAATATAGACGACCAGGAAGAGTATTTCCAGCGTCCCGAGTGTATCCGTAGAGACCAATGGAATGTGAACGGATATTGTCACCCCCTATTAATAGCAGTACGATGAATAATTCGCGATGTATACACACGACCGTAAAACCGGGAAGTCAATTAAACCGCTGAAAATTCCATGCGCCTGGTTAATGGAATTACCGCGTGGGAAATTGTGCAATTTCCATTCGATGAATCCGTCGTCGTCACTGTCGAAGCCAAGGAGGCCATCAGGCACTCGATTAGCCCGTTGATGCACACTCCGTCCAATCCTACGGCTAATTGTCCCTCCCATTCGGCCTGTTCGGTAGCGTACTGTTCCCATTTATTTGGCTATCGAGACGTAATCTTTCCTCGGAATCACCGCCACCCTAACTTTCGTTATTGAACGCTGGACGACGAGACCTCGACGAAGCAACTGTCAAGCTTTCTCCCAATTTGGACCAGAATGGACAAAATTGCTTTTACGAAGTTCGATTGTCGACAAGTTTAATTAACGTTTAAAATAAGAATCTGATAATTACTCTGATTCTTACAAACTCTGATGTTGATTACTCTATGACGTCCTGAAATTTTCAATTCTTACGTATTGTGGTCAAAATACAAACAAACCAAGTATGTCACATCTGAAATCGTGTTGAGAAATATTGTCTCCAGAAAAAGGTAAATTATATTTCCTAGAAAAAATATTTTGTCTTATTTTAACCACAATACGTGAAGATTGAAAATTTTAGGTTGCTTCTATAGCTACGCCACGCAGTGTATATTTATGCTACCAGCGTAATAAATCGTAATTTTACACTATCCACTGTCAATATGTAAACTCAGCCAATACACGGTATTCGATCGAGACAACAATTTCATGTAATCCAAATTGCCCTATTTTCAACAAAACAATGGCCACTCCAGAGTCCCATCCACTCTCAAATGATCCAGCATCGTTTCACCGTAGAAAATCCCAAGATTCGCGGAAAGAGAGCCTGAGAAACGTCTGGCGTCATGCTCGAGATCCCCGTACCCGAGAACAAGCTGGTCCAAGCTTTCGATTTCTACCAGTTTGCGCTCGCATCTATCGTTGACAGGAAACCTGTTCTTTCCTTCTAGTGGTCAGTTTGGAAGACATGGTTGTTCCACAAATTCTTGTTTCCCTGGTGTGCCGTATACTTGTTATCAGAAGAGGTAGGAAAAGCAAATACACGTTTAATTATCGGTTCAAATCACCTGTACAGACCCAATAACCTTGATCGATTCTTCTAATCAGAAACCAATCCACGAACTAAATAACTATACCTGACAGTGAGTGAAATTTCTGACGACCACGAGTGCCAAAAATGAAAGAGGAAGTCTTAGAAATATTTTCTTCTCGATTGAAAAGTGTTGTCCCCACGTGTTCTAGTGACGTAGTGAATGACACCTGTGATTTCGACGGATCGCCTTCAATTGTATTCCACTTTCTGACATAAAATTCGTGGCTGTATCACTCGCGAAAATTCTATTCTTCGTAGGAAGAATTTCATTGTTAGACAGCGCATGGGTCTCGTCGAATCACCGTTAGAATCGATTCTATTTCGTCTGAATCGCATCTTCAACCGACTGGTATATCGCGGGGGCACTGAGGTGTACGAGGATCACGGTACTTTCACTCGTAACTCCGCGGGCGCAACTGGGTGAAGGGGGCCGCGGTTCGATTCAACGCGAAAATGCATTATCATAAATCGCGGGGATTAATTGGTGCATGCCAGCTTTCTCAAGTGCAACCGATAAAAACCGCCGTTTACCTTTGCGTTCGCGACTTTAATTAACGTGATTTAATCGTTTCGCGTGTGCGTATATGTGTTGTTCGACATCCAACAATTGGGTCAACCGTGACCCACTGGAAAATCTCTCAACACGTGTAGATATAAAATGACGTTTACTTATTTATTGGACGAACTAATTAATTTGTGGTCCCTAGATTTATTTATTTATTTCTTTATAAACGGATTGGCCCCATTGTTTCTATAAGTTGTTTACATAGGTCACATGTCGCGGTATATATAATTAATCTAAAAAAGAAGGCCACGATTTAATTTGTACATCTTACACTACGTGAACAATTTGGTGTCTATCAAACGGTCAAAGATGGCCAGGTCATGGTAATGCAAAGGTTCAGTGTCAATGTTATGCAATGCTATTCTGTAGATCGATTAGAGGAAACTATCGCTGGTAAATCATAGCTATCCAGACCACACATTAGGTTGAGAGCAGTCTGATCGATATCGTGAGGAGCCGTTCCGTTCGCCTTTTCACACTTCGGCTCATTGTCCCATGACAACAATGGTTGATTAGCTAATTCCTAGTGCTCTAATGAGCGTACACTTTCACTCAGACGGTTTTTTTTCCTGTCTGTGCGCGGATCAGCGAAGAAGGTGACGTCGGTTACGACGGGAGAATATTGGATTAGGTTTATGGGGTAGACCAATTTTACGGTTAGGGTCAATGGCTTCGATAACTACTTATTGCTTGGGATTGTGGGTGAACAGTTATCGAGACCTGGAATACAATTCCAAAATGTATTTTTGATCATCTAATCTAGCTATTTAAAAGAGAGTACTTGAAAGACCTAGTATTTTAAAATAGAGTAGATAGTGTATTGGGATAATGTGTGGTTTTGTGATGGATTGAAATATAAAGAAATGGTACATTATAGTTTTCTGATAATTACCGTGAAGTATTCTCTAATGGCCATAGCTCCATTTCTGTTAATAAAATCTTTAATAACTAGAGTCGTAAATACGAATCAATTTCACTCCAAAATACTTTACGATGAAAACGAACCTGTCCTAGATTCCCAGTTATTACACTATTTATGTTATTGTTCTACATTCAGAGTTATTAACCTCCAAATAAGGATTCACTTTCATTAGTCCCGATACTTGTGTACTTTAATTGTTTCATAGTTATTGCATAATTTTACGAGAACTGATTACCAATTTCATCCGATACTCTACTGTAATACTCCATTAAAAATAACTGTGAAACAATTGTACAATCTTCCGACAATCATTTAAACTACACTTTATCAAAAAGAGGCAAGTGTCCCAGACCCTTTTACGTCATTTTGGAGCATACTCTCAACAGGGTTTCCTTATAGCCACTGTTTCATTTTTAAAAGATCGATTTAAACATCGGTTATGTTTAAAACAGCTATCGATTTAGTTAGACAGCAAAGTGGGCGTATATTACGTCTCAAATACTACTCGTTTATCGATTCTAAGTGGAGACAGCGCCGGATTATGTCCGAATCATGCAAGCATCATTGACTAGGATACACTGTTGTCCATGACAAAGCTTCCAGAAAAATTGGAATCGCAAATTGTC